AATAGGTAGGATCTTTCTTCCTTAAATCTTTATATTCATAGGAATGTTCACATGAGATAGCTTCATTTGACATTGTTTTGTTTTCTAAATTGTACGCACTATGTACACTTTGTCCAAAATTCCAGAGTGCGGAAAAAATTTCGTCGCAAAACAAAGTGCGCAATGCGCACTCTACATGAAGTTCTCATTAGAAACACTGCATTCATCCTAAATTTTTGTTATAATTTATATTTACTTTTCATTTACATAATGAAATTTGTAACAATTTCATAAACATTATTTCTTACTTATTTTAACTTTCGATATTTTTTTTTTTGATATTTTTCTTCGACATTTATCCATTCATTCATTCAATAGTTCATAGGTATTTAAAACGAGAATTGTAGAGACGTTTTCTCGATGTCAAATAGTTTTATTGAAATAATGAATTCATAATTATCAAATCTCTTTCTTTTCTTGCCTAATTTTCTATTAAAACTCAATTCAGATGAATTTTATTTTAATTCACCTAAATAAAAAAAACAAAAATGGGCGATAGTTGACGTTTATTAAAATTGATTTTTCTTTGTTTTTGTTCTCGTCTATATTGTCATCTATCTATCACCGTCTATCGCAAATGATTTGTAGATTCATCATTCATTTATTATCCATTCTAAATATCAATAATTTAACAAGATCTATGCATTTTTCAAAAGTGAAATTAGAAGTTTTTCAATGGCTTTATTTTTTGTGTGCATATAATAATATACTGTATTGAAAATGAAAATAAAATGTGATTAAAATAAAAATACAAAAACAACACGTATACAAAAAAGAGTTTTATATATCGGTTGAAACATTGTAAACAAATATAACCACACACGCAGATTTACATACAACTCTTTTCTCTCGAACAACTAAGACATTTCTTTCTCCTACGATATTCATAACAAATATATCGTTAGACCGTAGTTTTGATTTTTCGAGACTTATGTTAACAATATCTTATCTAAATAAACAATAAGGAAGAATATTTGCATTTCTTTTGTATTCTTATGTTGCAACATAGGTTTTCGATATATTTATACGAATTTTATCAAGAAAGTTTTTTAAGTTATTACATATGGCGGATACTCCAATAAGTGCTAGTATTCCGAGAGCATGTATATTGTGATGAATAGACATTGTAAAAAACAATATTAATTGAAAACAGATTCAAGTCAAAATTTTTTTTTGAATACATTCTTAAAGTGTATATTAGCTCATTGTTATTGTTCAAATCGTTTTTGACAAAATTGATTGTGTTTAAGTACAGATTTATGAAAGACTCTACAGCTCTATCCTAAGAGGATCTTTCGTAGTATCATTTTTTAAATTTATGAGGTAATATGAACAAAGCTTATATTAATATTCAACTATAGAATAACATATTTCTTTGGATCGAAGAATGCAAACTTTATTGATAGAGAAAAATTTTGTTTTATCAACATGAGAAAGTGTCAATCAATTTCATTGTCTAAAATGAGAAATATAACAACTATTCGTCGTCTGATGATACATGATGGTACAGTGCTTCGAAATTTGATATAATATTTTCCGCGTTAGCATAGTCGCTGCTGTTGTTAGTGATACAATTCAAGAAACAAGTAAAAATCTCAGAAGTGATAATCACAATCAATAAAGTTGATGCTTTCTCTGTGATTGATGGAAAACATTCATTTTTTTTATAGTGAACTTTTTGCATCGAGACTTCTATTTAACCAAGAGTCAAAGTAAAAATAATCATGCAGATCCCAACAGTGGCTGTGGATGTGGGTGTAAGTCTTTCATTTAATCAAAACCACACCCATAGTCTTATTGACATACAAAGTCATAAATGGATGTCAAAAATTTATCCACAAGGTAATATTATTTGATACATGGTACAGAATCCGATGATCAGTTATTAAAACTAATGGGGTGTGTAAGTTTTTTTGTTAAACTTTCAAAAAGATTTTTTTAGAGTAAAATATGAAGAATCATGTTGGTCATTAACTCCCTCAAATCAAAGCACAACATCAACTGTTATACCGACATCAGCTATTGATGATTTAATGATTAATTGTATATCACAACCAATTAAACTTGATGATCATATTTTAATAAATGAACCACGATCACCTACGGAAAAAAAATTTCAGAAAAACTGCGATCTCAAAAACCACGGTCTCAAGCGGTTTCAAAGAAACACATAGATGGTCTGACTACCGTTATAATAAAAAACCGCTGAAAACCGCGGTTTTTCAGACCGTGGTTTCGAGCGGTTTTTCCAGATACACTAGAGTGAACCGACTCCGGCATGCCGACCATAACCTGAAGCTTTCAGGCATGGTGCCCTTCTAGGGGTAGTGAAGTGAGCTCTCTCGAGCTTCATTTCCACAAAGTAACTTTCTAGAGTCAGATGAATTATCAGTGTAATGATCGAAAAATTTGTCAGAAAAAGTGGGACACGACATCCTGACTGTCCTTACACATTACGTTACACTTCGATATGCACCGCGGTTTCCTGAATCGCGGTTCTGTCAGTGACGAACGTGGTTTTTAAAACCGTGTCTGTCAGCGGTGTAGCACATCACGGTGCGGATACGTGAAACCGTTACTAACCGCGATATAGAACTCGGCGATCTCGTCATAGAAAATCGCGGTCCTTCTAGTTACACCGTGGTGCAATGATAGAACGGCAATAGACTTTATTTTTAAATTGTCGTGGGTTGCTTTTAAAAACATATGTCTTCTACCATATGAATTCTCTTGAAACAGTCTGCATTAACAATCATTCATTTTTATTAATTTATCGAATAATTAACACTGTTTTTTTGTGATTCCACTACAATCACTTCTCAACAATAAGAGATTAAAAAATAAATAAAAGCTGCAGTATTTTTTATCAGTGGATTTGCGAAATTTCTACGACGACAATTTGCAGATGAATTGAAAATCCTTCTATTGTACTACATCAAGTCTCTTCTGGTATATCACTTTAATATAAAAATGATAATGAACAGATGCATTTCAAATTAATAGAGATTTTTTTAAAACAAAATGAAAAGTCACCGCGGTTATATTACAGAATACCGCGGTTCTCTACGATGAAACCGCGGTTTTTCTAAAATAATTTTTCCATGGGCACTTAGTGGAATGGGTTATGTAAGTAGAATCTTTCTTCTTTCTAGCAAGATCCATCTGAACATCTTGTACATCGTATGACAACAATTGTATTAGCAATATCATTTGATAAAACAAATTATTCAAAACGTAATCACTGCTCTTTCAAAGTATTAAAAACTGAAAAATAATTGGAAAGACCCCCGTAACCTTTGAAGGTAGTGAAATTAATTTTCTTAGGCTTTTTAACAACTACTGACAATAATAATGAATTTGAAAATATTCAAATTAAAGAACATTCAAATTGTAAATCCCTTTATATTATTAATTTAAAACAAGATTATACAGATATTGAACAACATAAACAACAACGAATTGATGAAATAATACAACAAGATGATAATGAAAGTTCAATAAATACTGAATTTTGTATACTTGTTCAATCTTTAGAATACTATGAAGAAGAAATTAATGAACAATTTCAAAATGATGCTACTGAACAAACTGAAGAATTAAAAAGTAAAAAAAGAAGTAAAAATAATAGTTTTTAATTTTTTAAATTGTTTTAGAGCGTTTAATCGATGTTAAACAACTAACATTAACAAAAGATCAAGAATTAATTGCATCGAAATAATCACCGGTTACAAAACCGAATCGAGTAAAATTGAAGAATTTTTATTGATTAATTTATTTCAATTTTCATTTTCAAGTCATCAAAAGATAAATCACAACGAATATCATCAATTATTTCTTCAATACAGCAACAACGGCCAAATTCATCATCAACTGAAGATTTATCTGTATCACGTGATGATCTTTCAGCACCTCTTCATGTTCTAAGTAAGAGAATAAATTTATAAAAAAAGAAGGTATTACTTATTAATCAATAGGTGATTCTATAATAATCCCCTCACAAATACCAACAGTAACAGCTACAAATACTTCTGTAACGAAATATAAATATTATTCGTAGGGTATAAAGTATCGAGATATATAGAAGTGCGTATATATCGTGATCAGATAATGGATAACAAATCGTCGAGGAGTATCGATAGTATAATCAAGGATGCTCCAGTAACACCGAATGATAATGAATTAATTTATTCAGTTTAGAATAGGTTAGCAGCACTCCGCTTCGGATAAATACATGTATGTAATATTCACAGCAATTGCACACAAGAAGTTTATTTGCGTACGCACCAATTCTGTGTACTCGCTTCTCGACGTAACTGGATACTACTCTTTGTATATCTAAACACAACTTTTCTCCAACTTCACAAAACTAAAACGCAACTGAACTCACTCTATCTTTATCCCAACCAAGAGAGAGAGAAAAGGGAAGGGAAGAGAGAGAGAAAAGAGAGAAAGAACAAGAAAACGAGTTAAATAGAAGAATACAGAAGAATTACGTATATCTCAAGCGATATAGCTGGATGTCATTTGGAAGGACGTCCATCGTTTCATGTAAGCTCAACTATATCAGAACGATGTGTTGCTGATCTGTGTCATATAGAAGGACGTTCCTTGATTGTTGCAAATTTGATTATATCTGCTTAATATGCTCGTTGGCCGTATGACATAGAAGAGGACGTTCATCATTTGTTGCGCACTCGAGTAGCCTGTCTCGTCACAAGAGTATGTTCTCTAATCTTATATCGTATAAAAGGACGTCCATTGCTTAGTGCGATCTCAATTTGTCTTCTCTTGTCAGAATAATGTGCTTCTTGGCACAACTTCTGTAACATCAACATCAAGTCGTGAAAGTGTTCTCTCTGAACATTCAATTGTCTCGATATCTTCAACACAACAACAACGACCAAGTAAACGTAAACTTCTGCTACCAATATCTCGACATAAAAGGCAACACATGGAACAGCACCAGTAAAAAATTCATAAAAAAACAAAGACAGATATTATTTTTTCCCTTATTTATCCAACTATCTTCTATTTTTTCTTTGTTTATCTTTCTGACCAAGATATTTCATTTTTTCTTTGTTTATCTTCCTGATCAAGATCTTTCATTTTTACTTTGTTTATCATTCACTCATGTTTATATCTCTTAAGTGTGCGTGTGTACTCTGAGAGATTCTTGGTTTTTTTTTGTTATTTAAATTATTAAATAAGGAATGAGGAAGAGCTAATAATATGATTATTGAAATTTAATCTTGAAACGACCACCTCAAAAACTGCCACTTGTTGACCACTTGAAGTTCGACGGACTCCAGGCAGATAAAATGCAAATAATATATTAAATTGTTATTGTTTTATTATGGAACTACAGTGGTTCTAAGCAAGACTTCACTGCAAGAAGAACAAGCAGAACTGCAACTAATTTGAATAATATTTATGCAATCTTTTTTTTACTTTGTTATCATACTCTATTCTTCGAACGTTTGAGATCGTATATTGCATACTGAGCGTCTTTGCTTAATTAGAGCTGCTTTGCCACATCAGCAACAAGTAGATCTGATTGGCTGATTCTATCAGCATACTCTACTAAGTGCCCCTAAAGCATAGCCAAAGACGTATAGTTTGACCTCATGTCATATATATACAATATGGAAATGAAACTGGCTGGTATGCGTACGGACCCCAGATGGTCATGTCAGGGTTAAAAGTTCATTGTATTTTGACATCTTTACACAGATAGGTGTTCTGCTCATATGTCACGCTTGCTCTGTGCAATCCTATTTGACATAGCCTTCTGTAGGCGTAATTTTAGATAGGTTTATGTTTTTGTGCATGAATTGGATCTGTTATAAAAAAGTCCATAATTTCGATATTCGATCATCTCAGAATAGGATATATATTAAAAATTGAAACATTTGTATGTTGCTGACGTCAGTTACATGTTTGTCTTTTCACAAAAATTTTATCAATATAATTGGTTATGTTTTGAGAACTTGCTTCTTTTACTTTTATCTGTTGCTCATATTAAAGTTTTTTATAGAATAGTTTAGAAAGCTATGTAAAACAAAATCGATCATAGAAAATGAGATCAATGTTCAACAGTTTTTTTTGCTATCTCTCTCTTTTTTTTTACATCTTCACACTATGAAAGATAATTTTATTTTCTCGTTATTGTTTAACGGGTGATTGTAAATGGCTCATCAACCGAAGTGTATTTTATTTTGAACGTTGAGAAATTAATTATCTTTAAAGATTTATTTGCTATGTTGAAACATATTGAAAACTATTCTACGGTGGATACTATGTATTCAAATCAACAAATTGATATGATTCGATAATATATTAGATGATTTTCTGACAGTTCGTCCACGGTAGTTAGTTGCACCAGTTGGAAACTAATTTTGATTTATGCCATAATTATATTAAAATGATTAATATCAAATGTGTAATGAACGATAAAGTAGTGTAGAAGCCGTAAAGTTGATTCAACTATTAGACTTTCAACTATTAAACTATTAAACTTTTCAACTTTCAACTAGTCTGGACATCATAAATTTTACTATTTTTTGAGACTATACATACACTAAATACGAACGACAACACGACAGAGCGCCTCGAAAAACTTCGTTCTTTGGACGAATCTATTCTTTCAAAGCTTCAATCGAGATTCACTGATACTTTAAATTGTAATTTAAAAATTTTTTAAAGTTAAAAAACTTTTCCTGATTATTGGTGTTATATAGTTTATTTTATCTTTTTCGTAACGTTTTGGCAACGATGTTGCCTTCTTCACACTAACTTTGATGTTTATTGTTGCTTTGTAAACACTTTCAACACACACACGCACATATTCGCTTGTTTTTCTTTTCATTTTCTTTTTCTTTTAAATTATATGATAGTGGGACGGCAAGACGGTGATACTGGTAGGAGTAGTCAACTATTTTTATTCTTCCTCTATTCCACTATCACTGCCTTGCCTTCCGATTTTAAGTACTTGTTTCGATCTTTTATATTTCATTTTAATTTTTCTTTTGATTACTGGCGCTCTGAATGTAATAGAGGGAGCCAAATTCGATCGAGTTCATTGTGGTGGTTAATAGCATTATTGATAGTAGAGTGAATGGATTCTTTTATTCTTCTTTTCATTCTGTTATTTTCGTTATCAATGGCAATTGCTTTACTTGGATAAAATTTGCATTTATCATTGTTCTTTGGTGTTGTTTCATACGTTTCTCTATTTCAACCTTAGTTTCTTCATTGTAAATCGATCTACATTGACAGGTTATTTGATATATGTTTGATTTGGAATTTTGTTCGTTTATATTTGTGCATTGTGATTGTAGTTTATTTTGGTAAGTAAAGAATACTTTAATGTTAATTTCAGCTAATTTTCTTCATAGTACTTCAATTCCATTAATGTATGGTAATGTTATAGAATATTTAAAATCTTGTTTTGGACATTCTTTATGTTTATCTTTATTGAAATTTACACTTTTGATTGTATATCTCATGTGTTTGTTGATGATGTATGATGAATAATTTGATTATATGAGTATTGTTCTTAATTTTTGTAAATCTTCTTTTTGTTCAATTTTGGTTTTTGTAGTTTCAATTATTCTGAAAGTCATATTCTGTATCATGTTGATCTTAATTGACTGTTGGTGATGTGAATTATAGTTGAGTAATCGGTCTGATGCTATTTCTTTTCTGCACCACCTTATGTTGATATTGTCCTCTTTATTTCGTGACAAGGATGCATCAAAAAATTGATTTTTCCATCTTCTTCATACTCATAGGTAAATCTGATCTTGCTTCTTATTTTATTAAATTGGTTGACGTAGTTTTTCAATTCTTCTTCCTTCATTTTAGTTATGATTAACATGTCGTCTACATATCTCCAAAATTTTCCATATTCATTTAGATTCTTCATGTGTTTTCTATGTAGTCTTGCATATAAAGATCAGCCAAAAGAGATGATGGTGTATTTCCCATCGAAAGTCCGTGTTTTTGATGATAGAATTTTCCATTGAATTGCACGTAGCTGTTGTTGAGTGAGATTATGAGCATTTGTTTGAGATCTGTTTCAGATAGGTTAGGTTCACAACATTTTTCAGACGAGCCTATCTTATTTATTGCAATTTCTATCGCTCGTGAGACTGGTACATTTGTGAAGAGATGTTCAATATCTAGGCTCATAAACATTTTTGATCTTTATTTAATTTAATTTTAACTATTTCATTAATGAATTTGGACGTGTTCGTTATGGTGTTGATTAATTTTTCTCTCGATTTTTTATGCATGAAAATGTGATTTTGGATAATGGTGGGATAATAGTGTTTTTTTTACATGCGATGATTCTCATGAGATGGCTTTGTTTGTGTAACTTAGGTTGACCTCTTATTGTTGGAATATTATCTGTTGACATTAATTCATGTTTTGTCTGTGATTTTATTCGATATAATTTTAATAATTTATTAGTTAAATCTGAAATATTTTTCTCGATGTTTTTAGTTGCGTCTTGCACTTCTTCAAACATCGATTTATCTTTTAGTTTTTCTTCGATTTTGTCCATTACTACTTATTTGCCACCTTTATCTGCTCGTACTATACTGATATCTTGCATGTTTTTTAATTCTTTAATGGCATCTCGATCTTCGTTGGTCATATTGTCAAATTTTGGTGGTTTCTATTTGTTTATAAATATTGATATTTGTAAAATTGCCG